CTGTGTTCATTGGAGATCAGAGTCTCACAGACTTTCCTGCCTGGGCTGTCTTTGAACCTTGATCCTGGAGCTCTCAGCCTCCTGAGTAGCTAGGATTACAGGCTTGAGCCACAAGCACCCGGCCTGCAGCCCATTTTTAACAGCTGCTGGGGCATGAAGCTTTGTGGGGGGCACCATATTCTGAACAGAATCGTTCTTTAATCTTCTTGGAACTGGCCGCCAGGCATCCCTCAGACTCAAACTTGCAGAAGGCAGGAAGAGGCCGAGCTCTTCCAGGCGCTGGTGGTCACGCCTGTCATCCTAGCTGAGATCTGAGGATGGCAGTTCAAAGCCAGCCCTGGCAGGAACGTCCAGGAGACTTTTAATCTCCAATGAACCACCAGAAGACCGGAAGTGGCGCTGTGGCTCAAGTGGTAGAGCGCTCACCTTGAGCTGAAGAGCTGAGGGACAGCGCCCAGGCTCAGAGTTCAAGCCCCATAACCAACAACAACAACAACAAGGAATTCTGATGGGCTTGTCGGGAACTGGGGGTGGTGGTGGGTGTATGAGATTCTTTGGGCTGCTATAACAAAACATTGTCAACTTGGGGCTGGGGGGGGACAGTGATTCCAACAGGAAAAGGAGCTCTTGGAGCTGGGAATGCTGGGAAATCAGGGGTTCACAGGGCTTTGTCCCTTCTGCAGCCCCTCCGCGAGGGGGCCGGTTAGTCCATCCATGGTCCTTCCTGGCAAAATCACCCACCTCCAACTTCATTAGGCTTGTCTAGAACTTTCCAGACCTTGTCTTCCCTGTGTTTGAGTGTGGTCACTGGGGGGAAGAAGACTGAAGTGAAGAACTTGGGGTGCTGGAGGGGTGGGTGGCAGCTGTCAGATGGGACTGGCCAGCGGGGGGACATGAGTGGGTGCGTGGGGTAGGCTCAGCTGTCATGTTCAGGAGTTCAGAGGCCCAGTGATAGTCTGTCACTGGGGGAAGGAAGCAGGAGGAGGTGCAGGCCATGGCCTTCTGGGCGGGGCTGAGCTTGTGCGGGAAGCCTCTTTGGACTCTGGAGCAATTGCCCAGAGGAAGGAGGTGGGCTTCTGGGCCCTCTGGAGGGCCCTTCCCCCTGCGCTTTCTTGGTCTCCCCGGAGATTTGCAAGTTCCCATTTCCTGTTGGTCACTCACCCGCGGTTACCAGGGTGTGTCTTCACATCTTGCCTTGATCAAAACAAGTAAACTTGGCCAGTGATCCAGTATTTCAGATCGCCGTGGTTCAGGCTGGATATAGGAGCTATACGTAGATCTCTGCGTCGCAGATGAAATTATCTGTCATTATGAATCCCACATATAGCAGAAGTCCCTGGGGGGAGGGGAGGTAGAGGAAACTGATTCTCAGGGAAGAAAAAGGCCCCGCCTTCTTTGCCTTAGGGTGACGTGTGCCTCAGTCTACCCAGTAGCCCCCCCAGGCCTCCCCGGAGGATGCAGGTGTTTCTAGAGGACTGGGACCTGCTAAAATTATAGCATATAAAACATGTACATAGTGGGCGCTGGTGGCTTGCACCTGTTGTAATCCCAGCTACTCAGGAGGCTAAGACCCGAGGGCCAAAGTTCAAAGTCAGCAGAAAAGTCTGTGAGACTTCCATCTCCAGTTAACCAGCTAAATGTTGGACCAGAAGCCTGGCTCAAGTGGTAGAGTGCCAGCAGTCAGCAAGAAAACTAAATGAAAGCATGAAGTCCTGAGTTCAAATGCCAGTACCTGCACACACACACACACACACACACACACACACACAGATATTATGGATTAGATGGGGATATACATGGGCCCAATTTCTGGGACTCTTCAGGAAGGGCACCCAGCTCTGGGCTCCCCACGACTTCCCTGTGGGGGTTTCTAACTCCTCTTTCAGGCCTCTCCTAGGCTCCTGAGGCCCTGAGCGCGGCCTGCTCACCCCAGGGTGATCCTCCAGGGTATACCCTAGTTAATCTCAGCAGCTTTTCAGCACATCTCCCTGTTCAGAGTCAGCAAATTATTAGGCACCACACCAATGATGGTTACCAATTTCTCCTTGCAGCTACACCAGAGCTTACCCAGCAGCAAGTACCCTAAAGCACTATGCTAGAGCAAGCTTTCTGGGAGAATACTACCCCTCCCCTCCAGCCCAAAAAAAGAGGTGGCGTGGTTCTGTGGATCGGTAAATTTAACCCTGAATGTCCCAAAGCTGTGGGTTCTGCTGAGCAATGTTGCAGACCTCCACATAGACTCATGATTTCTTTTTACCAAGGAACAATATGTGGTACGAGATGTTTCCCAAACGATGGCCCAGAGAACCCCTTTCTCCAAAAGACCAGACTGCCGTGGAACCCACATTGGGAAGGACTGATTTTACTGTGATTTGCATACTTTGAATTCTTCTTTAGTTTTGTTTGTTTGTGGATGTTGTTTTTGCCAGTCCTAGGACCCAAACTCAGGGCTTGGGCACTGTTCCTGAGCTGCTTTTGCTCAAGGCTAGCACTCTACCATGTGAGCCACAGCACCACTTCTGGCTTTTTCTGTGTCTGTGGTACTAAGGAATCAAATCCAGGGCTTCATGCATGCTAGGCAAGCACTCTACCACAAAGCCATATTCCCAGCCCTGTTTGTTTTTGTGCCAGTCCAGGGGCTTGAACACAGGACCTGGGGACACCTGGGTGCTGCCCCTGAGCTTTTCTGCTCAAGGCTGGCGCTCTACCACTTGAGCCACAGTACCACTTCCAGCTTTTTTGGTGATTAATTGGAGATAAGAATCTCACGGGCTTGGGGCTGGGAAGGTGGCTCAGTGGTAGAGCGCTTGCCTTGCATGCATGAGGCCCTGGGTTCCATTCCTCAGCACCACATAAGCAAAAAGAAAAAAGCCGGAAGTGGCGCTGTGGCTCAAGTGCTAGAGTGCTAGCCTTGAGCTGAAGAGCTGAGGGATAGCACCCAGGCCCAGAGTTCAGGCCCCATGACCGGACCCAAAAAAAAGAATCACCGGGGCTTTTCCTGCCTGGGCTAGCTTCGAACTATAATCGTCAGATCTCAGCCTCCTGTGCCTGCCTCTTGTGGGCAGCTTCCTGCTGGTGTGGAGATCTAAGTGATGACTGACTAAACACCTGTTTTATGCCAGGAGTTGTTGGGGGGGGGGGTCACGTGACTGGACAAGTTCACCAGCACCTGCATCCTGTCTCTGCAGCCCTGCCCTTAGGAGGCTGATAGGCTGATGGAGAGGAGGGAAGGGGCGGCTGAAGAATGAATGAATGGACACACACACAAAATCCCAGGTGCTTGAGGAGAGTCTGGCAGCGTGGCTCAAGTGGTAGAGCCTGCCAGCCAAAAAAACAAGCCTGAAGCCCTCAGTTCAAATCCTGGTACTGACAGTAGCAAACTGCTACGCTAGCCGAAGAAGCAGGGGTTTGGGGTAAGGTGGGTGATTTCTTGATCCTTGAACTTGTGGTCGGGTGCCCTGTACATCTGTCTCTCTGCCTGGCGCCCGATGCAGCTGTGACTGACAGCTCCGCGCCTCACTCCCCGGCTCAGATGAGGGTCTCTACGAATGGAGGGCCCGGGAAGCCTGTGTGACTGGCCATCCCTCCCTCCTGCCAGGCCTACGCGGGCGGTGGAGGGCAAGGTCACCCTGACCGGCTGTTTCCTGCCTCTCTCCCTTCCTAGCTGTGGCGGCCGTGGTGAGCTGGGAGAGCTGAGCGCTAGGGCCTGCAGCTCTCCTTGCTGGAATCCAAGGTCAGGAGCACATGGAGGAATGCAGGCGTGCTGCCGTGGGGAAGGCAGGGCTTGTCCACCAGCCTGGCCCTTAAGGCCTTGCTCGCTAATTGGGTTAGAGAACTAATCACCTGAGGGCTGGGAAGGTGGCTGAGTGGTGAAGTGCTTGCAGAGCATGCGCGAATCACTGAGTTCCATTCCTCAGTACCACATACGCAGAAAAAGCCGAGGGGGCGTTGTGGCTTAAGTGGTAGACTGCTAGCCTTGAGCAAAAGAAGTTTGGGGACAGTGTCCAGGCACTGAGTTCAAGCCCCAGGACAGAAAGAGACACACACACACACACACAGAAATAATCACCTGGCCTCAAAAACTAGACTGGAGAGGCAGGTGCAGTGGGTGTAATGCAGGAAAGTTACTGTCTCTCTGGATGCAGGGAGAAGCTAAGGCCAGCATGGTCGAGCCTTTGTCGTGTTGGGGTTCTACAGAGCTCAGGTTGATAGATACCTGCCCCGCTCTGCAGCTGTTCTGTTCGGCTCCAGCTGTCCCCAATGCTTACAATAGAAAGCTTGCTTCTTCTACCTTAGCCAAACCTGTCTGTCATCCTAGCTACGCAGGAGGCTTAAGATCGAAGGATCATGGTTCAAAGCCAGCCCGGACAGGAAAGCCTGTGAGACTCTTAACTGCTAATTAACCACAAAAGCCAAAAGTGGAATTCCAGCTCGGAAATGGCAGAGTGCTAGCCTTGAGTGAAAAAACTAAGGGACCGCACCCAGGCCCTGGGTTCAAGCCCCAGGACTGGCACAATAAAACCGAGCAGACAGCTGACCAGGGCTGACTTGTAGTGGACAGACTGCATGCATGCTGGACCCCAGCCTCATGGCCTTTGTTACCTGTAGGTACAAGATTGTGTGTGTGTGTGTGTGTGTGTGTGTGTGCGTGCGTGCTGGTTCTGGGGCTTGAACTCAGGGCCCAGATGCTGTCCCTGAGCTTTTTTTTTTTTCAGTTATTGTTTTTATTCTTTTAAGAATTCTATTTATTTTGTGTGTGTGTGTGTGGTACTGTGGCATCAAACCCAGGGCCTCATGCATGCTCATGAACTTTCCTGCCCGGGCTAGCTTTGAACTGTGATCCTCAGTTCTCAGCCTCCCAAGTAGCTAGGATGACAGGTGTGAGCCACCAACGCCCGGCTAGATGCAGAATTCTTCAGGAGCTCGTGCTTGGGGAGGGAAGCGTCTGTAGTTTCTGAACTAGGCCCGTGTTCTGATGCCCCTGTCCACCTGCTCTGCAGGAACTGAAGCTGCCCGCCTTCCGCGCCCACTCCCCGCTCCTGAAGAGCCGCCGCTTCTTCGTGGACATCGTGACCCTGCTGAGCAGCCACTGCCAGCTCTGCCCTGCAGCCCGGCACCTGGCCGTCTACCTGCTGGACCACTTCCTGGACCGCTACAACGTCACCACCTCCAAGCAGCTGTACACCCTGGCCGTGGGCTGCCTCCTGCTAGCAAGTAAGTGGAGGCCCCTCTTTCTCTGCTCCCCAGTGCCAGCCAGGGTGCCACCTGCTGCTGCCTGCCCAGCACGGCTCGGGCCTATACTAAGCTTAACATCTTTAGCTTCTCAGTGACAGGGATTTTGTTGTAGTTGTTGTCAATCGTGGGGCTTGAACTCTGGGCCTGGGCGCTGTCCCTGACCTCCAGCTGAAAGCAAGCGCTCTACCACTTGAGCCACTGAGCCACTTCCAGCTTTCCTTTTTGTGGCTAATTGGGGGCTGGCTTCGAACCCGATCCTCTTCAGATCTCAGCCTCCTGAGTAGGAGCTAGGAGTCTGGGCGTGAACCACCAGCTCCCTGCTGCATAGCTTTTTTGAGTTTGTCTTGAACCCCTCCTGTCCACTGTCTTCGTTTTAATTAAAGCATTTCCTGTCTAGACAGAGAGTCTCTGCTTTGTCACCAACGTGGCGAGGTTTCCTGAGACGCCTCTAGGAAACTCTGATGCGTCCTGACATGTGGCACTTGTACAAGCAGGACTGACTGTACCCACATAGTCACCCACATTCCAGAACCTTCTTCTGACAGTTTTTCTGCCAGCTTTGTCTTCTAGATTCCAATCAAAAGTGCCTTGTCTGCTGAGGAATTTAAGGGTGTGTGTGTGTGTGTGTGTGTGTGCATCTGTGTGTGTGTATGTGTCTGTGTGTCTGTGTGTCTGTGTGTCTGTGTATCTGTGTCTGTGTGTCTGTGTTCTGTAACTGGGACTTGAACTCAGGGCCTGACACTTGGCTTTCTGTCTCAAGGCTTGTGCTTTACCACCTGAACTACGCCACCACTTCCAGGAGTTTAAGGTATTTTTTTTTCCTCTGTAAGAGCAGAGAAAATTAGAAGATGTAAAAAAAAAAAAATGCTGAGCCTGCTGGCACATACGTGTAATCCTAGCTACACTAGAGACAGAGGTTTGGAAGGCAGAAGTTTGAGGCCAGCCTGGGGGGGGAGGTGGGGAAGTAAGACCTCATCTCATCCAGCTAGCCAAGCGTTGTGGTGTCCTGTGATCCCAGGTCTGCAGAAGGCTGTTGGGAGGAGGATCTTGGTAGGAGGCCGGCCCTGTAATCAGAATTTGAAGTGGAGATTAAGCTGTAGCCTCAGTGATGAAATGGGAGGGGTTTTATTCGTGGACTGGTGGTGTGTCCAGCGGTACTTCCGTTTTTTGGTTTTTCCACCTATTTACTCATTCTCAAAACAAGAGAGAGTGGTAGTATTTTCCCCCAATTCACAGAGAAGGAAACTGAGGCACAGGAAGGAAGTCCCCCAGCTGTGGAGCATCATGGGGCGGGGTGGGGGCTCTGGGGGGTCCACCGGCTGGCAGGCGGTCTTTGCCCTTCGGCTGGTCACCAGAAGACCCAGGTCAGCAAATAGAGAAGGTGCTGAGACACCCCGGGTCCTTTGCCATCTGAGCCAGAACTGCATGACATGCACCTTCCCAGCCTGGAACTCATTCTCCAGGCTCCCAGCAGGGCTTAGCACACAGGATTCAGGACCCTGCATCCAGCCTTCTGACCCTGCAACCAGAGGGTTTGCTGGACCGGTCTTGCTGTGCAGTCCTGCAGACCGGGTCCAGCCACTTTGGGGTAGGAAGAAGAGCTCAGACAGCAGCGCCCCTGCTCCACACCCACCCAGGCCCTCTCCCACGCTGGCCAAGAGTCCAGACAATCCCAGCAGAGATTTGCGTCCCTCGGGAAGTAGAGCACAGGGGAAGCCGGCAATGGGCCGTGGCCGCCGTGTGAATGTCTCTCAGTCCTCGCGGGGAGAAGGGACGGACCGCTGCGGCAGCCTGTGACCCAGCTGGCCGGACGCCACCTCCGTCCGCAGTGAGGCATTTCCAGGACTTCCTCCTCCTGAAGCGGAGCCTCGCCTCTCAGCTGCTCCAGAACTGATTCAGCCGGGCAGACGTGCTGGCGTCCGTCCATTCTGCCACCACACCACACACACACACACACACACACACACACACACGCACTCACACACACACCACACACACCACACACACACACGCACACACACACACACACACACACACCACGCACATTCATCCACTCATCTGTGAATCAGGCCGTGTTTAGCTGGAGCCAGCAGCTTTGTTTATTTGTTTTTTGTTTTTAGGGCAATCATGAGACTTGAACTCAGGCCCTGGGCGCTGTCCCTGAGCTTTTTTCACTCAAGGCTAGTGGTCTGTCACTTGGAGCCACAGCTCCACTTGTGATTTTTCTTTCTTTTTTTTTTTTGGGTCCAGTCATGGGGCCTGAACTCTGGGCCTGGGTGCTGTCCCTCAGCTCTTCAGCTCAAGGCTAGCGCTCTACCACTGAGCCACCTTCCCAGCCCCAGTTTTTTGTTTGTTTTTCAAACTCCAGAATACATAGAGGAAGGTAGGGAGAGCCAGTGGCTGTGGTCTGACGTGCACAGTCATACTGTGTCCCTGACCTCCCCCTGGGGACCCGCAGGAGACCGGGCATCTGTTGACATCTGTCACCTGTGCCATCTGTCCATGAGGAGGGAGCAGCCATCTCCTGGTGTCTGGTGGCAGCAGGGCTGGGGACAAAGGCCGCCGCCACTCACAGTCAGGGAGGAGGCCCTTCTAGCGGTGACACGTGCCATGCACGGGAATTGTCACAGAGGAGAGTCCCTGGAGACCTCTGCAGCATGTGGCTTTGAGCCCAAGGAGCCGTGACCCCCCCCCATACTGAAGGGTGACCTTCAGGCCTTGGGCAGAGCTCTGAGAGGTGGGAAAGAAGTGAGGAGGGGAGGGGAAAGGAGGCGGGTCACACGGATGCACTACTGCATCCTTACAGATCGCAGCCACCGGCAGCGTGCCTGGCCTCGTGTTGCCCCAGAAAGAAAAAAAAAATACCTGGGCTGGGAAGGTGGCTCAGGGGTAGAGTGCTGGCCTAGCATGCATGAGGCCCTGGGTTCGATTCCTCAGCACCACATGCACAGAAAAAGCCAGAAGGTTCAAGTGGTACAGTGCTAACCTTGAACAAAAGAAGCTCAGGGACAGTGCCCAGGCCCTGAGTTCACACCCCAGAACTGGCCAAAAAAAAAAAGAATGAGGCGGGAGGTGTCCCAATCGGGGGGGGGCAGCGCTGGCGGCCATTGGTGGGGAGCACAGGCGTGCAGAGGTGACCCCAGAATGAGAAGCGCTGAGGCTGGAGGGGCCCCTCTGTGCCTTGACCCCCCCCCCCCCACGGAGGACCAGGATGGGATAGCTGGAGGCCTGCGTTTTCAGACTGTCCCTAGGAGAAGCGAGCTGCAGTGAGCTGGAGGTGAACTGGGGGCTGTGTCCTTCGGGGCTTTTTTCCCTTCCCTGCCCTCTTTCAAGACACCTGTAATCAGGACGCCCCCTCCTCCCCGCCCCCCCCCCGCCCCAGGAACATAAGCCTCCATCCTGAGGACAGTGAGGAAAATGGAGGGTTCTTTCACATCTGGAGGGCCGGGTGGGGTTGGCAGGGTCATTCTGACTCCAGCCTGGAGGTTGTCTTGGAGAGGAAGTGGGGAACCCCATTTGTCCCCCTCCAGAGCCCGGCTTGCTCTTGCTGACATCTCTCTCTGGTGCCTTTGCTTGTTACAGAACTGAATTCATGGATGTGACCCACAGAGAGGTGGTATGGCCCGGCCAGGGTCACACAGCAGAAATGACAGTTGGGGGTGGAGCGGGGGGGGGGCGTACAGAATTCAAGTTCAAGGTTGACATGTTGGATGTCTATGTCTATTATCCCTGGGCGATCCATCCCGTCTGCTGCTTGTTTGTCTTCTGGGCATCCTGGGAGTGAGTAGATCTTCTAGTAACTTCTTGCCTTCTGCTCCCACAGGTAAGTTTGAGGACCGGGAAGACCGCGTGCCCAAGCTGGAGCAGATAAACAGCACGCGGCTCCTGAGCAGCCAGAACTTCTGCCTCACCAAGAAGGAGCTGCTGAGCGCCGAGCTGCTGCTCCTGGACGCGTTCAGCTGGGACCTGAGCCTGCCCACGCCCGCCCACTTCCTGGACTACTACCTGGCCGCCTCGGTGAGCCACAAAGACCAGCACTGCCACGCCTGGCCCTCCCCCTGCGTCCGCAAGACCAAAGAGTGTCTCCGAGAGTATGCGCACTACTTCCTAGAGGTCACCCTGCAAGGTGGGCGCAGCCCCGGGCAGGGGGGGCGGGGTCTGCAAACCATGCCACGCCTGCTTCACCAAGATGCACCCCGTTCACCGTACCACGCAAACGAAATAAAAGAAGTCGCTCCTCTGCAGAGCTCCAGCCCCGCTGGCTGTTTCTCAGAGGGGAACCTGCAGTGTTGTGGAGCCTGTGAGTCTCTAGACTCCAAGCTAAGCTCATTCTTTTGTGTGTGTGTGATTGTGGGGCTTGAACTCTGGGCCTGGGCGCTGTCCCTCAGCTCTTCAGCTCAAGGCGAGTGCTCTACCACTTGAGCCACAGCACCATGTCCGGTTTTCTGAGTGGTTTCTTGGAAATAAGAGGCTCACGGACTTTCCTGCCCAGGCTGGCTTTGAACTTCAATCCTCAGATCTCAGCCTCCTGAATAGCTAGGATGACAGGCATGAGCCACCAGCACCCGGCTTCATTAATATTTTAAAAGACAAAAATTAGGCTGGAGGGGCTGGGAAGGTGGCTCTGTGGTAGCGCGCTTGCCTTGTATGCATGAGGCCCTGGGTTCGATTCCTCAGCACCACATAAGCAAAAAGAAAAAAGCCAGAAGTGGCACTGTGGCTTGAGCTTTGAGCCTTGAGCTGAAGAGCTGAGGGACAGTACCCAGGCCCAGAGTTCAGGCCCCACGACCGGACCCAAAAAAAAAAAAAAGGTAGAAAGTTGGAATAATTACAGTGCGTGAGCAATTTAAGAATGGAGGTTCAAAGCCAACCTGGGCAAAAAGTGAGACCTCATCTCAATCAGTAAGCCAGGTGATGTACACCTGGATTATGGGTAGAATTCCAGCCAGAAGCCCATCTTGAGTAAAACACATGTGACCCTACCTGAGAAAGAAAGAAAGTAAAAAAAGAACAGTGGGTGAAGCTCATGTGATAGGGCACCCCTCTAGCAAGCAAAGGGCCCCGAGTTCAAACCTCAGTACCACCAAAACCAAAGAGACTTCTCTAAGTTGGGTCCAGTGGCTCACACCTGCAATCCTAGCTACTCAGGAGGCTAAAATCTGAGGATCATAGTTCAGAGGTAGCCAGGGCAGAAAAGTCGGTAAGACTCCTATCTCAATTAACCACCAGAAAGCCGGAAGTGGTGCTGCTGTGGCTCAAGTGGTAGAGCGCTAGCCTTGAGTAAAAGAGCTTAGGGACAGCGCCCAGGCCCTGAGTTCAAGCCCCACGACTAACAAAAAGAAAGGAAAGGATTTCTCCACATACCTAGGTAAAATATCTGCTTTTGTTATGGATATCACACTCAGACCTGCATTTAGGGCCCACCCCCCAGTGCCTGCTACAGACCAGGCTCTCAGTGGATCAGCTTTAGGCAGACCCCAAAACAGGGCAGATGTTTTACAATCCTGGGGCTTGAATTCAGGACCTGAGCACTGTTTGGGAATTTCTTTTGTGCAGGGTTAGTGCTCTACCACTTAGCTTTTTGGGTAGTTGAGTGGAGATAAAGAATCTCACAAGTTTTCCTATCTGGGTTTGGCCTCAAACTGTGATCCTCAGATCTCAGCCTCCTGAGTAGCTAGGATGACTGGCGTGAGCCACCGGTGCCTACCCCCAGGTGACCTTTTTTCAAGCCCACCTTCCAGGCTGGTACCAGAAACCCCACACTGAGAACCCAAGCGTTGAGGCCCTCTTGATGAACATCACAGTTCCTCATCTCCCATTCTGTTCACAGAGGGGCAGGCTTTGAACCCAGCAGGCTTTGCGCCCTTCACTGGTGCACCTGCTCTCCGGCAGGCAGGAGGCTCTGCCCCCGGAGACTTAGCTCACACTCCTAATTCTCTTCCAGATCATGTGTTCTACAAATTCCAGCCGTCCCTGGTGGCTGCCGCCTGCGTCGGGGCTTCCCGGATCTGCCTGCAGCTCTCTCCCTACTGGACCAGAGACCTGCAGAGGATCTCAAAGTACTCTCTGGAACACCTGGCCACGTGTATCGAACTCCTGCTGCTGTGAGTGTCCGACCCCACAGCTTCCTGCTTCAGGGACGCTATCCATCCGCTTGCCCTTGAGGACAGACTCGGGACATTTCCTGATAGAAGTAGTGCCCAAACCCTGAGTTCGAACCCCAGGACCAGCACACGCACGCGCACACACACACTCACACACCACAAGACTTGTTTTTACATTAGGAAAACCCATTGCACCCCTCTTTTTTTAATTTTGAACAGTCCTGGGACTTGAATTCTGGGTCTGGGCACTGTCCCTGAGCTTCTTTTGCTCAAGGCTAGCGCTCTACCACTTGAACCACAGCACCACTTCCAGCTTTTTAGGGGTAGTTTATTGGAGATAAGAGTCTCATGGAGTTTCCTGCCCAGGCTGGCTGTGAACCATGATCCCCAGATCTCAGCCTCCTGAGTAGCTAGAATTACACGTGTGAGCCACCGATGCCTGGCCTGTACCCCTCTTTTTTTATGTGGGAACACATAGGCCCCAGTGGTCAGCTTGCTGGGTGTCTGAAAGCTAAGGAGTCACATGGCTGGGGTAGAGCAGGCCCTGAAGGTCTAGAATTTAGAGTCTGCTCTGGGCTCATTCACATAACCAGAATACTTAGCTGTGCTAGGTACTGGGTCCAAGCCGAGCCTCACATTATTCTCTGGGATGTTAACCACTGAAATGGTACAGGGACTGTGGGGACAGCTTAGCCTAGTCTTGGGGGTTCCTAGAGTTCTCTGCTGGAGGCAGCCCCAAGCTATAACGTGAGGATGACAGGCCGACCACCCCACCCTGGGTAATGGCGTACGAGTCTCTGGTCTGAGAGACTGAAAACCTGAGTCTTACCTGAGTCTTCGTTTCAGAACATACGACAACATTCTCAAGGATGCCGTTGCTGCCAAGAGCCAGGCGTTGGCCGTGGTGCCCTGCACGCCCCGGGCCCCCACCCAAGTGCTCTTCCAGCCCCCCGCTTATGTTGACCTCAGCCAGCCCACCCCGGCCACGCTGGCCGAGATCCACAGCCCTGGGCATGACCTGTACCTGGCCTACTGGGACTCGCTGCAATCCCACCCCCTGGGGGGCGTGGCCTCCTCCGGGCACACCTCCTACCCCGCCCTCCAGCCCCTGGACCTGTGCACCGTGCCCCCGTCCCTCAGCATGCACATGACCGTCGTCGCTGCTGAACCCAGACACTGCCTGGCGGCTGCCTACGGAGCCAGCTGCTCCGGCGCGGGCCACCTGTTCCCCGCGGGCTGTTTTGACAGATAGACCTCGCTTGGGCCACCTGGAAGCCAACACAGCGGACGAAGCCTCAGCCAGGGGAAGCTATCTGCACCTGAGTGGCCATCCCCCAAGAGTCGGGTGGCCCAGGACCTAAAACAGACCCAGGGCAGAACATGTAAATCAGTCCCTTCCAAGCACAAGTCCAGGGAACAAGACAGAAAGACCCGAACGCCTCACAGCACACGAAGCACATCGGGCTGCAGCCTCCAAGACTGCATCTGTTGTTAACCTGCCTGGCACCGGTGGCTCACGCCTGTAGTGCTAGCTACTCAGGGTCGTGAGGATCTGAGAGTCACGGGTTCAAAGCCAGCCCGGGGCAGGGAAGCTCTTTCTTATGTCCAGTTGATGCCACCAAAAAGCCAAAAGTGGAGCGGTCATCCAGGTAGTAGAGCGCTAGCCTTGAGAGAAAAGGCGTGGGGACAGCGCCCGGGCCTTGAGTTCAAGTTCAAGTCCCAGGATTGGCACCAAAAAGAAATATATTTTGTTTGTCTTTGCTGATAGCAGCTACAGCACTGGAAAGGAGAGGGCTTCCCGGCATGGCTTCGGGGGTCACTGGAAGATGCCCGTGTGGCTGTTGATTCCCACACCAGCATCATACAAGACGTGTGTGTTTGTGGGTCTGCAGAGACACCCGCCTCCTGAGTCCCCCTGGGGAGCTGTCGTGGCTTTCATGGTTTAAACCTAAAACCTTCTGTTTGATGTTGTTGGCCTTTTAGATATTTCACATGCTGCTGTGTCCTGAACTGATCTAGCTTCCTCCTCCGCAAATGTTTACACGAGGCCGTATCAGGGAGTTTGTGATACTTGAAGATTTCCTTTGGAGAAAATTTTAAAAATGTTTATTTGTGGGTTAATTGCTACCCTGACTACTGCGAGGCCAGGTTTAATCCAGCTTGTGACCCACAGACCCTGAGCTTCTTTTCCAGAAGCATGTGTTTGGCAAGAATCCTATCCCAGGCTCTCCCTTCTAGAACATTCCATGTCTTCGATTTGGGGTTTACTGGAAAACTTTCATAACCACCCAAGGAGAAAAAAGATGGCTGTAAGGAAGAGGAAACTTCCATACAAGCAATCCTTGTCTCATTCCCATCATCAGAAAGGTCAAACCAAGACCCAACTTTGAATTTGGTCAACAGTAAAAGATACTGTGGAATAATAGCTCAGTGTACCTACATTTGGGGTGTCAGGAGCCTTTGTGGTATACACCCCAAGCATTGATGAGCAAGAGAGTGTCTCGGATGGAAAGCCAGGATCAGGAGGTGTCGAGCAGGAGGAATCTCAGGAAGACGGTGAGCAGGTGCAATATGTTTGTTCTGACTTGCTGCTCGTGCCTTGCTGTGGTTGGCTGTGGGAGCCACATTCACCCGTCAGAACTGTGACATGTGAAGGACTACAGAAGGAAAAAAGAAACATTTTTAAATACCATCTTGTACTGAGCATCAGTAGCTCTTGCCTGTCACCCTAGCTGCTCAGGAGGCTGAGATCTGAGGATCACAATTTGAAGTGGGTCAGAAAGTCTGTAAAACTCTTATGTCTAATTAACTGGCAAAAAAAAAAAAAGCCAACCAAGAGCATGAGGACCTGAGTTCAAGCCTCTGTACCAACACACACCTACACTCATAAAAAGAGCCCATCTTGTTTGTGTGGATGTATTTACCAGTCCCAGAGGATCGCTGGGAAGGCAGCCGCGTGCTGCCACGTCGGATCCAAAGGTGACCCAGACATCAGAGCAGATGTTCTCCTAGTAGAAACACTAAAGAAGGCGCTAAAACGTGGGACGTTGGACACTACACTAACATAGGAGCCTGCACGTTCGTTTGTTTTCCCTTTGCCAAGTTCCTTGTATTTATGGACGATCTTTGGATTCCAAGTTATTGTATGTTTGTTCTAGGAGTGGGGGACCATGCACGCTTCCTCCAAAGTGGCACCTCAGCCAGCCTGGTTCCCAAAAAGACACCCCTGAAATAAACACATGGCCCCACTACCCCGTCTCAGCTTTCTGCCCGAGTTCTCCCTGCTCCCCGAACCCGCAGTGAGGGTCTTCTCAGGGTGAGAGTTGGAAGGCTGCAGGGCTCGTGGGGTGAGCAGCAGTAAGATGGGCTCTTTTGTCCTGGTTCGAAGCCAGCCCGGGCAGGACAGTCCTGGAGACTCTTATCTCTAATTAATCACAGAAAAAAAAATCCCAGCAGTGGTGCTGGTGGCTCAAGTGGTAGAGCACTAGCCTTGGGGAAAAGTTGCTTAGGGACAGCGCCCAGGCCCAGAGTTCAAGGCCCGAGACCAGCAAAACATTGTGTATGTACGTGTGTGTGTGTGCGCGCGCGCGTGTGTGTATGAAGATATGACTGACTTTCAGGAATCAGTTTGTGTCATTGTAGGGTTTGTCAGGTCCAGAATATGTAGGGAGTCAGGAGATGGTTATCTCCAGTTAACCAGCAAAAAGAAAAAAAAAAAAAAACTGCTGGAAGTGGAGGCATGTCTTGGGTTGGTAGAGTGCCAACCTTGAGCAGAAAAATCCAGGTGAGGGCTGGGAAGGTGGCTCAGTGGTAGAGCGCTTGCCTTGCATGCCTGAGGCCCTGGGTTCGATTCCTCAGCACCACATAAGCAAAATGAAAAAAGCCGGAAGTGGCGCTGTGGCTCAAGTGGTAGAGTGCTTGCCTTGAGCTGAAGAGCTGAGGGACAGCGCCCAGGCCCAGAGTT